CCTCATACTAAGTATTACGCCCAGGTATTTCAGAATAACTCCAGGTTTTCGAGATCTGAACAGATTTTGAAGCCATAAATGTACCACCTAATTACTAAGAGGACTTAAAAATTTTATATTGAATTTCAGGCAGCAGCAGAAGATTTTGTGGAGGTTTCCCAAGCATTCTTTTTACCGTGTCTTCAAATCCAAGTGTTCAACAATGGCTTTAGGCAAACAGGAATGGCAAAAAACATTTATCAATCAAAGTGGTACTAGCATTGTAAAATGGTTAATAACAAAGCAACAGATTCAGATGCCTAAAATCCCAATTGCACTGAAAAAGTCAATAATTTATATTATGTTTCGATAAACATTTTTCTTTACTTGAAATCTGTAGTTCCATTGCCAAATATGGAACAGTAAAAAATAAAATAACACCTCAAATAATTCTGTGAGTGGATATCAGAAAATTATTTTAACATTACTTTAACAGCAAAATATAAGCAAAAACAAATTAATTGACATTTTAATATTTAAAATAAGAACTTCATTATTTATGGTATAATTAAGAAGACAGATGGAATATCAGGTCAGTAACCCAAACTGAAATTATTTATGAAAATAAAAATAACAGACAATGAAAATTAATCTTTTGTATCATGATTAGCAAAGTCAATCACTAGAAAAAATATCGCAGTTTTAATTAATCCTTGAAAAATAAAAAAAAATACTTCAACAATTATGAATAATCAAGTCAAAGATTTAAATATCCTTTTAAATGCGACAAGATACAACTAGCAAAATGTTTATTTATAGACTTTTCTATGAGGTCAACGAACTATAACAACATTTGCTATAAATAGCGCATGAAAAAATTATTCATTATTTTTAATCACATCTTCTTAAAGAATTATAAAAAGTTTCCGAATAATTGTATTAAATTAATTACATCGTATTTGGTTAGTATAATTACTTTAAAAATGGCTACTTTAATCACCTATTCTAAAATTAAAACTTGATGACTCTTAAGATATTTTCCTATTATATTTATGGTTAAATTAGATTAATACTATAAAGATTTATATCGATTAATTAATTTATATCGATTTAGTCATTTATTTGCAGTAGTTCATTTTTTCTGCTTTTCACGTTCTTTGTCAATTTCCGTATTGCTCTTTGTCTGGTAGTTTAATTTTCTTAACGTTTATGGGTCTCAGAATTATGGGTTAAAATTTAGTAAAAAGAATACCTTAAACCTTAAGCATACAGCGATAAAAATTCAAGTTAATTGGAATAAATCGCTGTACAAATAGTATTTTATAATATTCCATTAAGAGTAGTAGAAAACTTTATCATAGAATAGCAAGGTTAATTTTTTTTTTTTTTTTTTAGATTAAGCATGGAAATATATTTTTTTTTTGTAAACTATTGCAAAGATTTTATAATATTTATTCAAAATATTAATGAAAATCTTTATTCATAATATTTTCTGCTAAATTTAAACTACCACAATATTTATTTTATGCTTTAAATTTTAATATATCACGTAGAAATTTTGCATCAAGTTTAGAAATAAAAATTAAATTTACAAAATATGTTTTACCAAAGCATTTGGTGGACAAGTCCTCAATTATTTTGTAAATACATTTAATCATTTCGAGTCCTAGTTTGTAATATTTTATGTAAAATATGTTCTGAAATATTTTAATTTCATTTTTTATATAATTAATGCAATGTTTTCAATATCTTTGGTTATCTAAAATTTATCTGATGCTTTCTGGCCATTTTGAAAACACATGACAATCATGAAAATACAACATTACCTCATATATTCTAAATAAAATAACACAGTAAACATCGTGTTATGTACAATTTTGTATTTAATGTCAAACAATTTAACATATTTATCAATAACTATGATAAAATAATTCTGAAAATTTATTTATATGATTCTCACTTACTTCAAATTTTACTGTGAATTATTAAGTATGCTAATTTAAATGGCATATATGTTGATTGTTTATTCTATAGTATCTATTTATAAGTAAAAAAGTGGAATATATTACTGTGATATAGTAATATAAAGTCGATTTAAAATGATTATATTCCTAATACTACTTTTAAAAGTATTATTTCCAGTCATTTACGAATAACACCACAAGATTTCAAAATCTAACAGATTTCGAAGCCTTAAATGTATGAACTAATTGCTAAGTAGACTTAAAGTTTTGTATTGGATATCAGGAAGTATAATATTTGTGCAAATTTCCCAAACATTCTTCTTAGCTGCCTCTTCGAATCCTTGAAGTGTACAGGGAATGGCGAAGACATTTATCAATTCGAAGTGGTATTATCATTCTAAAGTGGCCAATAACTTAGCCATATATTCAAATACCTAAAATCTTAACTGCACTGAAAAAAAGTGGATAATTTCGATCAAGCTTCGATGGACATTTTTTTAATTTAAAATCTGTAGCTGCATTGTCAAATATACTACAATGAAAAATAAAATAACACCGTAAATAATTCTGTGAGTGTATATTAGAAAATTATTTTAATATTACTTAAACAGAAAAGCTGAACAAAAAAACAGTTTAATTGACATTTGTAATATTTAAATAAAGTAGTCCGTCTTTATTAATGTTATAACTGAGAAGACAGTGGGGATGTCAGGTCAGTAACCCAAACTGAAAATAATTATGAAAATAAAAATAGTAGACAATGAAAATTAATCTTGAGTATCATGATTAGCGAAGTTATTCTCAAGAAGCAAAAAACACAGTATTAATTACTTCTTCAAAAACTAAAAAATACGTTTACAAGTATGATTAATCAAATCAAAAATTAAAATATCATAATGAATGTGATAAGATAACAAAGAGCAAAATGTTTATTTATAGACTTCTCTATGAGGTCAACAACATTATAAGAAGATTTACTATAAATAGCGCAAGAAAAATAATTCATTATTTTTAATCTTACCTTTTTAAAGAAACAAAAAAAGTTTTCTAATTAATATAAACATAATTGTATTAAATTAATTACTTCGTGTTAAGTGGTTATAATTATTACAGTTTAAAAAACGGCTACTTTAATCTCCTAGTCTAATTTAAATCCTGACGGTTTTAAAAAATATTTTACCAAAAAATATAAGTGATTTAATTATATTAATACTATGAAGAGTAATACGATTAATTAACAGGTTCATAAATTGCAGAATTTTATTTTCGTCTTTTCACGTTCAATGTCATTTTCTTATTGCTATTTGTCTGGAAGTTTAATTATCTAACATTTATATGTCTCAGAAGCACTCAAGATTTAAAATTTAGTAAAACGAATATCAAGCCTTAAGTATACAGTGATAAAAACTCAATTTTAATAAATCGTTCTACAAATACTGTTTTCTAGTACTCCATTAGCTGTACTAGAACACTTTATCATATAATAGCAAGATTAATTTATTGTAAAAATTAGTCTAAAAAATATTCGATTGTTAAGATTTTATAATATTTATTCAAGTATTAATGAAAATCTTCATTAATAATAATTACTGAAAAATTAAAAATATTATTATATTTACTTTAAGTTTAAATTTGTAATACATTGAAAGGAAATTTTACAAGTTTAGAATCAAAACAAGTTTCCTAATTAATTAAAAAGTATAATTAATTTAAGTAATAATTAATTTAAGTATTAAATTAATTACATCTTATAAGGTGGCTATAATTATTACACTGTAAAAAAAAGGCTATTTTAGTCACCTATTCTAAAATTAAAACTTGATGACTTTTAAAATTTTCCCTATTATGTTTGTGATTAAATTAGATTAATACTATGCAAAGTACTATTGAATAATTAACGGGTCATTTATTTATAGCATTTTATTTTAAGCTTTTCACGTTCAAGGACATTTTTTCTTATTGCTGTGTGTCTGGAAGTTTAATTATCTAACGTTTATGGGTCACAGAATTTCTTAAGATTTAAAATTTACTAAAAAGAATACCTGAAACCTTAAGTATACAGTGATAAAAACTTAACTTAATTGAAATAAATCGCTCTATAAATGCTATTTTCTAGTACTCCATTCAGTACTAGAAAATTTTATCATAAGATAGTAAAGTTAATTTATTTCTTTTAAGATTTAACATGTTTTTTTTTTTGTAAATCGATTGTAAAGTTTTTATATAATATTTATTCGCAGTATTAATGAAAATCTTTATTAATAATACTTGCTGAAAAATTTAATCGATTACTTCTATTTACTTTAAGTCTAAAGTTTTGCTATATGATATAGAAATTTTGCAACAAGTTTAGAAAAGTATTAATTTTGTGGAATGTTTTACCGAAGCTTTTGATAGTCATTGCCATAATTGCTTTGTAAACATATTTAAACATGTCGATTCCTAGTTTGTAATGTTTTATGTAAAATAGGATTTTTTTGTTTATATTTTTAGTATTGTTGACTATATATAACTATTGTTGACTTCATTTTATTGATTATAATTAAAGTAAAATTTTCCAATAACATAAAACTTAATAATAGTGAAAAAATAGCATTGGAAACAAACATCGCCGACGTTAGACAGATTAAAAATTATAGTTTTTAAAAACTAAATAACACGCTTTTAGAGTTAATCAAACTAAAAAGTAAAAAATAATTGGTGACATAAGAATAAAATGACTGACGTGAAAATGAATGTCACTGTTCTAAAAGCGCGGGGTGCTCGATATCAATTGTTATAATTTTTCATTAGTTTCATTCCGAAATGCAGAGTTAGTTTAAAAATGTCATACAAAGCACCCCACGCTTTTAGAACAGTGACTTTCATTTTCTCGTCAGTCATTTTATTCTTATGTCAACAATTATTTTTTACTTTTTAGTTTGATTAACTCTAAAAGCGTGTTATTTAGTTTTTTTAAACTATAATATTTAAATGAGGTCCCGGTACGGAGGACTGGAATTATAGTTCTTACAATAATTTAATTGTGAGTAAAACAAAGGCTAAATGCGAATATGTCGAGCCAGCCAGTATTCGAGCAAGGCATCTCCTGATCTGTAGTCAGGAGCATTATCCGTTGTGCCACTGTCCCACGCAGGTTGGAATGCCTTAGGTACTTTCATTCTACATGGGTGAAATTGGTCTTCATGAGTTAAAATAAAATCACTAATCCTGGCGATCCCAATCATGATGAGCTAATAAACTTGTCAAAATATTTTAGTGTCGTCGGTCCTTGATAAGTCTACAACGTTTAAATTAAATCGGATCGCTTAAAGTAGGTCAAAATCGAGCCCAAAGAGTCAGTTACAAACAAACAAAGGTACAGGTGAAACCAATAAGAGCGTATTAAAAATAAAAGTGAGAACAACCAATAGTTACAGAGAAGCAACAACAACAAAACATTTTAATGTGTTTTACAAATTTTCCAAGTGATCTCCATCATACATGATGACACTTTGCAGGCGGCAGATGTTATCAAGAAACGTACCATGGCAAGAGGAATTTGATGAATCTGACGTCTGATGGCATCTTTGAATCAAATGCAGTTTGGGGAATTAAATTCATGCCTCATATAGATACCATTTCAAAGCTAATTAAGGTTTTTTCAATATGAAGATCACATTCCAATAAAAAAAATATGAGTTGCTATTTGAAATTTTTGAAATCATATCACTGGAACCATAACTGTTAGAGTTTAACTGTTTTTTTAACAGGATTCTTGAAAACATACCCCAAAATATTTTAAACCCAAATTTCATTCAATTTCTATGAATTGTATGATAGCTAGGGACTCATATATCGAGAAAGTCTTTAGTAAAGAATCACTCTGTATAATTAAAACTGAAGCATATGGCGATAAGAATATGGAAAACAACTTCTTAAGTCATTTTAAATTCGAACTTCTACTGTAATTAGTAATTAGAAATACAAAAAAAAACCAAGGTCGTTTTGAAAGGTAGAAATAGCAAATTAGTTTCAAATTAAATTGTTCCTCCAATTATAATCGAGAAAAAACCATTTTTAATATGCCAACTAAAAAAAGGAATTTCCACTCACCCGAATATCATTTTCCTTTCAATTCAGCGAGCATTTTTTTTAATCTATAATTTTCTTTTTTAACCAAAGTTTGAGGCACTTGAGATAAAAGCAAAAAGAATTTTGGCTTTTGTTTAAATGCTGTGCATATAATAACTCAGTCAAACAACTAAAAATAATTAAACCATTCAGTATTTTCAAATTAAAAGCGAGTGTCTTCTCACTAATCTTCATCTTAGTTACTCTGGAGAAGGAAAAACTCCTCTTGGATATTTATAGCCTAATTCATCTTCACTTACTCGAAGTGTCCTCTTAAGTTTCCTGCTTTGGAGGAGATCAGGAAAGGGATGCTGATTTATGTGTTTGGAAACAGTGAGTCTAGAAAGTAGATAAGAAAAGTATCCGTACTATTTTTATTCCAAACTAACAAATATAACCTGTCTTTGCCAGCTTTAATAAAATTACTATAGCACTTCATATAAGCTTTGAAATAATGATTACAGTACTTCACATAAGTTTGACATATGATTACAGTACTTCATATGGGTTTAACCTATTATTACAGTACTTCAATGAGTTTTAAACATGATTACAGTACTTCATATGGGCTTAACTTATGATCAGTGCTTCTAATAAGTTTTGGCATATGATTATAATACTTCCTATGTATTTGACATGTGATTACAGTACTTCATATAAATTTGACATGTGATTACAATATTTCATATAAATTTGACATGTGATTACAGTACTTCATATAAATTTGATATATAATTGCAGTATTTCATATAAGTTTGAAATATGATTACAGTACTTCATATTAATTTTTAAATATGATTATAGTATACTTCATATAAGGACATAGGATTATAGTACTTCATATAAATTTGACATATGATTACAGCACTTCATATAAGTTTTGATATGATTTTGACATAAGCATGATTCTCATTATAAATAAAATATAAAAAATAGAAATTAAAAACATCAAAGAATTTCAACTAGTTCACTGTAATTGAATAAATATAATAGTAATTAAATTTTGTAAAAATTTAAAAAAAACATATTTAAGCCTAAGAAAATTTATAAATGTTTTCACATAAGATACAGTGTATTTTAAATTTGGTCTGCTTTACATTAATTTTCGATCGTAATTAAGATATAATAAAATCTAGATATAATCATGAATTTTGAATATTGACTTGTTTTTATCTTGTGTTTTTATTAATTAGAATATATCTATGACAGACCAATCGTACATCATTCGTTCTTAATGAGATGTTTACATATAATGTCACAATGGCTAATGAGTTTCTTCGTTCATGACATCAGTGATTGCAATGCATGTGTCCAAGAGATCTAAACCTGTGTCCTCCTTCAAGCATTACCATGACAAGAGTAATGATGGATTGGTTCTTTAGTATATGAAATCAGGACTTCAATAGTTCTAAAATTCTTTAAAATCTAATTACAAATAAATAAAAGCAAATTAAAAAGTTTTGTACATAAGATTTAAGGCGAATTGCAGAACATATTTTTATAACGTTTGTAAAAAATAAACGTTAACTTATGTTGTTCATTCAGGTTGCCTCATAGATGTTTACTTTAAACAAGTGCGCAGCATTTACCCATAAAAGTCATCCCGGAAGGCAATTTCCCTTGTGCATCCCTCATCACTAGGCTTTTCATTGGATTCCTAAAATGAACTTAAAGTTCACTGATGTACAAAAATTAACGTGCTGTTACTATGTTTTAAGTTAATAAAAGTTCAGTTAATTAAATTAACAAAAGTTCAGGTAGTTAAGTTAAGTTAATAAAAGTTTAGTTAATTTAATATAACTTAAGTTGATAAATGTTCCACTAAATTAATATAAGTCAAGTCAATAAAAGTTAAAGAAAGGTTCGCTGATGTAAATATTACGTTTTCTCCAAAAATTAAAAAAGTGTTATAATGTATACATATTAGATATTTAAAAAAAAAAAATTTTAAGAAGTTCTACAAAATAATTAAAGTTTAGAAAAACAGTGACAGGTGACTCATTAACTAAAATGCTCATATCTTTAAAGAATAAAAATTATAACAACAATTTATAATGTATTTTATAATCCACTATTTTAATAGTACATATCCAGCTAGGTTACGACTTATTAAATAGAAACACTTGGAAAGTTGTCATTCATAATTTACTTCTTTTTTACTTATGAAACTAACGTTATAGTTTCATAAGTTAGTTCTTATTCCTAAGTGGTTAATAAAAAGTGTCGTTCTACGTAAATTCATATTCACCTTGAGAATTCAACGGGTGATGAATTCGGTACTTTTATGCAGCTGTTAATGGCTTAGGTAGTTTGTTTAAATGTTCTTCGCACCATAAATATAGAACAAGTTCATGAATTTTTTTTATTTCCAAAATACTAAGTGGTTACCTTTCCCGTAAATTCTGTAGTAAATATACATCGTCACCATGTTTTATTTACTCCCACTGGTAACATTAAATGTTGAATGTACTTTTGTGTAACTTTTAACTACTTAAAAATGTTTTGTTTGATATTAAAATACTCTTACCATTCTTAACTATCAGGTTTTTCTAAATTACTGAATTACTTTGTTACTGTTACTTTACTTTGTAAGTTAATGTTTTACTGAATTACTTTGAATTGCCTACAATTCTATCTCATCAGAGACAGAATTGTAGGCAACTGAAAGTAATTCAGGTTGCACATCGAGAGAGTTTATTATGAACAACTACTTAAAAAAGAATTCTAGAAATGATACTTCCGAGAAGATTATTAGGGATGACCGTCCTGCATTTGCATGTTGTAAAGGTTCAAACTGGAAATATTCCAGTCAGGTATTCGAGTTATTCATGTGAAGCATTCTGACAAAGTCCCCACCTAGACTACTGGTTGTCAAAGAAATGACTGCAGAGCACGACACCAGAAGAAAATCAATTAATTTTCTGCTAGAAATGTAACTTTCCAAATATTTTTGAAAATTGTTGCAATGGCACCTAGTACAATCCTGTAACTTAATATTATGATTATTTTCGAAAGCCGGACTATGTGATCTGGGTTTATTCCTCACTATGAGTCAGAAATTCAGTAGATTCAACCTTAACCAAGATTCACTACTGAGACCACATTGCACTACAGTAATATGTAATGATTATCCTAAAACATAGCAAGAATACTATTGTTGTAGAATTGGCATTTATCTCAAGCCCAAAATGGACTTGACAACCTACGAATTTACTGTGCTCATCACAGCATAGCATGAAAGCTTTGGGATCGATATTGCTCATTGAGTTTCCAGCGAAACACATCAGGTTCGAAAACTAAAGAATTCCAGCAATCAAATTTTCCTGATTTCCTGAGCGACTTGATTCTTACTTTGTATTTGTATATTTGTATATTGTTTATGTATATTTTACTGCAGCTAATGCACACTTTAGATGTTGAATCAATGTTGCACATTTTTCTGCAAATATTTCTTGATAGGACTGACTTGTAGATACATAAAATTTATATATAGCAAATGTTAATATACAACTTCTTTATGCTAATATATCTTGTTTCTGGCAGACTAGTTCCTAGTCTATTTGTTTTTGTTTTTTACTGATGGTATTACATACATTTTCTGCACTTTTTGTACTATAAATATATAAACTATATTGCTCGTAAATAAGGAATTGCGATGTAGTATATAAAACAGTACACAATGTTACAGAATAAAAAGCAATACTCATATGTCTATATTAAGAATGAGAATGGCAAATACGGAGCATCAACATACTATGTCTTGTTTGTTTGATAATGCTTTATGCATGGATAAAAATTCGTTTTGTACATGTAAACAAGAAACATTCATCTTATGCATAAGATTGACAGAGGCTTTTCAGTTTTTGAATTTGGGTGGCATGGCAGGTTTTTCATATTATATTTTTCCACTTGCGTGAAACAATAATATTCTCACAGAAATTATGAAATCTGATTTGGATTTTAAACAGATTACTGCATAAACATTTTTTACTCATAGATTTTCTGTATTTAATTTTT